ATCCCCGAGCTTGGGCGCACTACTACATACATTATGCAGGACAGGAAACAGGCGCAATCCCTGACCCTAACTCGCGAAGAATTAGTTCTCCAAAGTAGCCTTTATAGCCTTCTTGTGACAGCAGGTTTCGCAACGTGGCCATCGAAACCGAACACCCCCAAGAGTGGGCGTTTCAGCTAGGCGGCTCCATCCTTCGTTGTTGCACGGTACGCTTTCCTTGGTTCTGCAGTGGATGCCCTTCGCCCTGACAAATTAAGACTAACTTCGGCCTGCGTCAATTGACTTTAGCTTTGTCGTCGAGTTGCCATGTGTTTGCTTCAACACATCCTGTTCAGAGGACAGCTCTCCCGGAAATGAGCAATGGCTAGGGTACTATAAGGGTACTATAAGGCTGCTACAAGGGCATTATAAGGATACCACAAGGATACTTACTATAAGGCTATAAGGGCGCAAGCATGTTGTATGACAAACTTACACGAGAAACCGTGACGCCTTAACCCGACGACAAACTTACTAAACTCTGGAAAGGAAAACCTGAGCCCACAGTCAAGAGCCTAGCCCCATAGGGCGAATCACGCACCTTATAAAGCATCAACCCCTACCCTAAACCCTAAACCCCAAGCCTCAACATCAGAACCCTAAAGCCTAATTCCCTGAATCCCTTATCGGACTCCTCAAAGAGAAACCCTTGCAGAAGCCCCTACATTGCAGAAACCCAGCCCCCCCCACGGAGGCCCTGAAAACCAGACCAGTGGCCGGGTATTCATCAACAATTAAGGGACAATAGGAGGGACCCCTTATATAGTCTCATAAAGCCCCTATATATCCCCAAGGGTCCCTTTCAGGGTCTCTCCTTTAGTCCCTTGAAACACTCATGCCACGAGGTCCCTCACATAGCGACATAAGCAACTCTTTCTTGAGTTCTGCATTTGTGTTTGCATCCTAAGCCCTAACCCCCTAAACCCTACTAAAGAACACTGCCTTGGGCCCACTGCAGTTATATAAGGGGGAAGTTGGTACTGCTTATTCTGACCTCTCAATTAATGTAGGGGCCGGTAAAAAATAATAATACGGCTTTGGTGTATGCTATACTATACTCATACTAAGAAACCATCAAAACAGTATTGGTAATTCTTTAGGCTTCTATACTACAAACCTTGACCCCAACCAGAAATCCAAGACCTCGAATTAGTTTATCGTGTATGGTGTAATATATAGGGCCGTAATAATTGCCTACACTACTTTGCGGTTTAGAGTTTAGGGTTTAGGGTACACATTCCGAAGGCCTGTACACGCGCACTTAGCACTATGTTTTCGGAGCCTTTCACCTTGTTTTCGGAGCCTTTCACCTCGGTTTTTCCAGGGCTTTCGGATGGCAGGGCTCGGATGTGCCGGTGCACGCAGGGATTTCGGACTTCCAGGGGTTCGGGGGGGAGGGAGTGGGGGGGCTAATTCTGTCAGGTCGGACGCTTCACCGCTGGTGCTCTTCAAACAGCCGTGCTGCTTCAGAACTTCTTGCGCACTTTATAGAGTCGTACTTCCGAAGAACATGTTGCGCATACTGTCCTTCCTCATGCAACCCACACAGACTGGGTTTGATCCTGAGATTCTGGCTTAGCCATCTGTAGGCCCTGAAAATAAGTGTTGGAAAATGCTTCGAAACCCCCACAGAACGCGACTGCTCAGTGGCCATAGCTCCTGTCGCTTCAAATCGAGAAACAGCTAAAACAATTGTATTTGCGTCCTGCTTTTGTACCTACGAGATTCCGTCCACGTGATTGTTGCATGCGCTTCAAACGAAATTGACATTCACAATTTCCTCGAGTTTTGGTGGGTACCCTGCACATATATGACCTCGTTATGTACTCAAGGGCCTCCGCGTCCTGGTTTTTGCGATGCGAAATGCTCCAGCAAATTTCATGTGCTTTGCAATTGTCTTGATTCCTTCTTGTTCCAGCAACGTCGAAAGCTCAAATTCCTCGAGTTCTTGACACTTCCTGACAGAGCTCAGTCTATGAACAGACCGAACAAAACTCACTCACTGTGTTGGCATCTTCATGGCTTCAAAACACTCTTGTTGGCAGCTGCGCCGAAGCCTTTCTCGAGTTTTAACGTGTTTCAACGCAGAAACGCGTGATTTCCACACGCAGGCAAACCAACAAAAGGGCTGTGCGGCATTTACAATACAAAACACTTGCCTGTCCTGCGGCGCGTTCGTGCGCGTGAACCGGGCTTCGGAGCATTATTACAATTATAGTATAATAAACAGCAAAGCCCTATTCTAATCATTAAGGCCCCTACATTAGGGTGTGGGTTTGGTCAGAAGCTTCAGGTAGACATCTGCCTCATCAGCCACTGTTGACTCGGATCATACTAGGTTTACCTTCCTTCTGGCCTGAAGTTATTTTGCTAAGCAGGGATCTGCATGACTCCTACTGCAAACCCCAAAGCTGTGGACACGTAACAAAACCAGAACCTTTAGCCGAAAGAACTGCAGAGATTTGATAGCAAGGGTTCCTGGCTTGGGACTTGCGATTTACGGACTTAGTCTAGTGCTGCCGCACGAAGGTTCGGCACCGAGGGCCGAAGGCTTTGAATTCATGCCGGGGACTAAGCCCAGTGAGTTGAGGGTTCGGGGTTTAGGGTTTGCTGCCACGCTTCCCGAAGCTACCACCTCCTAGGAGTGGCCCCAGCTCGAGGACACCGTTCAACCTCATGAGACGCAGGGAGTTTCGGGTACTTCCACGCCCTAAACCCCAAATCCTAAACCCTGAACCCCTACACTCTATATCGGCCCTAAGAATTACAGCGCTGCCTTTCTGGACCCTAATCTCTAAGCCCAAAATCCTGAACCCTACGACTGGACCCTAGAATGTAACACACTTTTTTGGTTGCTAGCCCTGATTTCCTATTGCAGGGTCCTAGCCATAACGGTGTAGGGTTTAGGGTTTTGCGTATACAGAAACAAGCTGCCCAAAAAGGTTTGGGTCTAGTTCCGGCTCCGGGATCTTGTGGGAACTGTGCCTGACGACTTCGAAGCTTCGCTTCCCATGGTTTAGGGTTTCGGGGAGGGTAACCTATCGACGCATCCGAGCTTCTAGAGCACACCCTCAAACATCCGTAAGCCGAAACATCTCAGGAACCCAATTCGACAAGGCCAGGGGCAATCGAGCTCAGAACGTTGTTGGCATATGGCTTCTTACCATTCGGAGTATCTTGTCTAAGGGTCCTGAAAACCCATTTCGATTCTGCATGGCCCACCATGTGCTCGCTTATCGTCTGCACCTCGCGTCTGGCCTATGCCTTATGTGCAACTCGCCAAAGTTGGTTTCTTGCCACTGGTAGTATGAGTAATGCCAAGCTTGGTATCATTACTGATCTTCAGCCTACTGGTTATTGCTACCTACATTAATTGGGTAGTACTACTATTGCTGCTACTACTCTTCGCAATATAGGATCAACCTGAACGCATGCATGGCTACATAGTATGTGTGTGGCTGTTGCCAGCAGGAGCTGGAGCAGAGGCAGGAGGAGAACGAGGACTCCAAAGCCATGGTCTTCAAGCTTTACTAACAGCAGAAACCCTTTCGGGGAACAACCCCAAAAAATCCGGAAGCCGAAGCAACAATTTGTGACAAAGAGACTTTGCAGGAAGTGGATGCTCCCCGAACATGCTGCTCCAAGTGCCACTGAGCGAGCCTGGAAGGATTGTCTCAGACTTCATGGCTTCAGCATGAGGCGAAGGATAACTAAAAGTCAAACTGTATGCATTGGGCATGCAAGCAATCAACCAAGAGCTGCAAAGGTAATACTGCTCGAAACATTCGGCCTGCTTCGCTTTGAACACTAAACAGTACTGGCTGCTAGCTGGCAACACAGCAAAGGCAGCAACCACAAAAGCTCAACGCCACCGACAACAAGCAACAACCACAACCCAAACAAGCCAGCCCCGACCCTCCGATGACGACAAACAAGAAGCACCACCACGACAACTACGGCAGCAGACGACGACCACCACAACTACTCACCAAACACATCAGCATCATCCAGTAACAGCAGCAACAAGACACACATGTTGAAACCAGTCATTTGGGAAGTGAAAGGTACTACCCAGCAATAGCAACAGCATCGCGACCACCACCACCACCACCACCACCACCGCAACCACTTCTGCAATGCAGTAATTAGTTACAACCCCCGCCAGGTCTAGCACCCACCGGCCGCAGCCGGCATGAGCGTTGCCACCGCCAGGACGCCAGTGGTGCCAAGAACAAAAACGAAGACCACGAGGGCAGCTACAACTACAGTTACCAGTGCCAGTTTACTACAGCATCAGCAGCTGCAACCGCGAGAATCAACGATGCCAGGGACAAAACAACGAATCTGCAGTAACAATAGTGCAAAGGTCGACATTAAAGGACAAGCCTGAACCGTTGCGACACAATCATATATGCGCACTGTATGTACCACAGCTGTAGCTGCATCACAACGAAGAATGCTGGCATTGTGCAACAATCATGTCACCTAGGGTGTGCCATGTAACAGTTGATCCTTGCGTTGCCTTTCGGACCACAGCAGGGGCCCCTTCTTGAGTGTGAACCGCGAGCCATAGGCAGCAAAACAAGATCGAGAGCAGGTCTTCTTTCACTTCAGCTCTCAGCGAGCTTCTGTTGACTTTCTGTGGAGCCCGATTCGCTTAAGCACTTCAGGTGGGATCAGAGAGTTTACATCACCAGTGCAACTCCGCTGTTGCACTGGTAGCGGAGCAGCTGTCCAGGACCGGAGTGCTGCCTTTGGCTGGTGTGTTTTCCCCACTTCTTCCGCTACACTTGGAACTAGTGTCCCGAACTTCTTCTTCTACACTTGGAACTAGTGTCCAGCTAGCTTTGGCTGGGAGGCAAAGGTTGAAGATTCCCGTTCGAGCTCTGGCTTAATCCGCGACTGCAGGTGGTTTTCACTTGTGGTTTCTGGTTGGGCCGGTCTTTCCGGGAGCAGCTATAATGCCTTTCAGCGATCAAGGAGGAGGTGGAGCCGCAATTCCAGCTTGGGATGGCCACCCAAAAGGGTGGCGCCGCTATGCCAGGGAAGTTGCCTGGTATGTTCAGGGGACGAAGCACACCCAGCGTCGCTACTTGGCGACGCGCCTCATCGGCCGACTCACGGGATCGGCAAGACTTCTTGCGATGTCTTGGCCCCAGTCAGAGTTTGATAATGACTTGGGGGTCCTGATTTATCTTCGCAAGCTCGCCCAGTCGCCTCTGGTTAGGAGATCTCTTCCCAATGCAGCAGCGATCATGTCACAGTATTTCCAGTTCCGATGGCAGCCCGGGGAAGCAATCACCACTTTCCTTGTTAGGGAGACCCTGGGCTTCGAGGAGTTCAACGAGGCCCTGGTGAGACTTCGAGAGGAAAGGCAAGGGCTCACCATGGATAAGCAGTTGTTTGGGTTGGAGACGCTGTTGAAGAAGGAAGAAGAGACCAGTGAGCGAGACAAGTGGAGCGAGGATTCATGGTCCCGCTGGCGCCGGGGCTGGTACGAGGACGAAGACTGGCCTGATGACACGGCCCACGGAGATGAGGACGCCGAGGTGGCGGCAGAGGATGTGCCGGCAGATGGTGAGATACGCTCTCCTTCGAGAGCGCCCCCTGAGGATCAAGGCGGCGAGGGCCAGACGCCACCCGAGGCGGGATCCACGACGTCTCGCCGCTCACCTGTGCGGTCACCAGAGAAGCAACCGAAGGGAGTGCAAACCGACGACGATTCTTTCGACTCCTTCATCCTGGATGTCCTCCGGGGGTGGAGGCTCTTGCAGGCTGCCAGCCTTACCCTTGAAGAGCGACGCGACGTGCTATCATCCACGGCCAACCGGCTGGACTTTGAGTCTGTTTCGAATGCTCTTCAGGTTCTTTGGGATGAGCAGCTTTCGGGAGTACGTCGTCAGGGGCATGGCTCTCATCTTCCTGGAGGAGCTCAGGTGTTCCACTTGGACGAGGCAGCAGGCTATGAAGCTCAATGGCAGGAACAAGCCGCTTGGAACGACGAGCAGTGGCCTGAGGAGGCTTGGGATGAAACTCAGTTCTATGGTGAGAGCACCGAGCCCTGGCACAGCGAGTGGGATCAGATGCCACAGGATCCAGATCCCGACGTCTACACGGCCGCGGAGTTGGATGACCCTTCGGTCCGGGATGCCTTGCAGGCGGAGAGAGCAGCTGAGGCCATGGCGGCCGATGCTGCCATGACATGGAAGCGTGCACAACAGGCTACAGCAGCTGTGCGAAAGGACCGTGGCTTTGGAGCAGCTGCCACTTTGGCCTCGGCAAGGGTCCCATGCCCAAGGGCAAGAACGGCAAGAACCCTCGCATGTTCGCTGGGGTGACTGCATATGGCTTGGAGATGCTTGGCTCGGGAGGTGACTTCGGCAAGGGCTGCCACGCGTCTCAAGCGA